GTATCTTCGTCGTCGTTGCGTCGGTCTTCGTCAGCCGTCGTTGTGCTGCCGCGCCCCCGGCTGGCAGAGGACAATGAGCAGGTTCTGATCGCCGATTTTTCGCAGTCTGCCTCAGTCCGCCAGCGGCCTGCGCGGCCCTTGGTAAACCGGTCGATGACCGAGCCGATATAATTTTCGATGGCGTCAATACCATGAGTGGCAGGTATCTGAATTTTACGGAGACTTGCCACGGTCTCCAACCCTCCTCCTTTCTCATCCGGTCTTGGGACCCGCCGTGGCTGAGTTAAGTTATGTCTGAAGCAAAATATTTTCTACGCACCTATGGGAAGGAAGCAGGAACGAGCGCATGCTAACTCAAAGTTATGGCATGACCAAAATACATACTAGTGGTACCAAGAGTAATGCTCTTTTAACCTGAATGCGTTAATTTATCTTTAAAAATTTTGGAAACCTGCGAATTAGGTAAGGCATGATGAAAACCTATGTGAGAAACTTATCCAGCGCTTTTACATACACATTTGGATTGCGGATTGCACCTTATCCTAACTCCTGATCAGTTACCAGGTGAGTCAAGATAAATTGCAGCTATAAAGTGCGGCATAACAAAGCATCTCACATTTTAACAAGGCCACTGCCGAAAATTCTAGTGTCCCTTATTATTCGATAGTCAGGGGCTTCGAACGGCACCTGTTTTTGACTAGCTTCATCAAATCAAGGTGAGGTAATTTCATTTTCAAATAAATAAATAAATTGCTTTTGGTTCTAATAAAGTGATAACCTCAGAAGAAACAGTAGCCATGGTTCATTCCGAATGCAAAGTAAGCAATTAGTCAATCCTTACTTTGAAGAAACTCCAGTCATTTTGTGCACTTTGCGGCTGAACAACCTAAAAAAACAACTGATTAAGTAAAGTATTTCTTATTTTAAAGACTTAATGCCATTTTTTGTTCTGAATTAGTGGCTCTCGCTTAAAAGCTTAAAACAACTCTAAGCCTCGCTAGCATATCAGCAAGAATCAGACCCCCTGCGAATTTCATCAAAACAATGTCGGAAATTTTAGCTGAACCAAAAGAGAAAAGTTAGCAACCGTTTCATTGTCGTTGATTCTTACACTTTCATGATGAGGCCATTCTTGCGCCCATCTATTAGTAAAGTTAATGGTGGGGCTCTCATCTCCTTTTCTGTCATCAGCCAAGAGTGCCTTATTTTAAAGTCTACAACAGCTATAGTAGGTAGTCTGCTTCCTTCTCGCGAAGCGATACTCGTTTATCAATTTCGGAAGAAAGGCGAGTGATGCGACCAGGGCTCGGACTTTTGTACTTCTTGGTTATGAATACGACGCTACCCCAATTGAATAACCGCGATCTGAAGCAAAATGTAATCAATTCCTTGCAAACTATAATCAATGGTACTTAATCACGGCGGATGCAGTGTCGCGCAGGCGTTACATCACCTGCATCCTTCAGCTGGTCACTTTGAGGCTGAGGTTTGAATCTCACCAAGGGTCCATAAAATTCTGCTGATTATCATTAGTCATATAGCTCCGTGCCTTTCCTTCGCATTCCAGTAGTCAGCGGAAAATCATAGGCGCAGTTAGTGTCATGTCTTGAGCGCTTGTCGTGTTTAAAAAGATGGGAAACGTAGGTTAAACCTATTATGTCGAAAGGTAGTGATGGCGAATACGATTATGGCAGACTTTCATTTGAGCGTGGATTAAAAAGGAGCTGTTTTCGAGCTCTATAATGGTGTATTGAAACTGATATTAC